ACACTCCCTGGGGCAAAACTCATGGATATCCGTGCGAGAATTAGTTTTAAAATCCAAGATGCCTTAAATCGCGGCTATCGACGGAGTTGTTAATAGTCCCCAACATAGGCATAAACTTGAGCGTTGTTGAACATCTAGGAGACACAATTGGAATCAAATCGCGATACGAATATGATAACCATTTCGGCATCTGATTATTATGCGGCGAGCACTCTGAGGACTATATAACCTGCACTTTTCCAGTAAATAAGGCTAACAACCACCCAACTCGCTTCCATCCCTGCGTCCATTTATTGAGTGAGGGGGTCTATCAAAGAATGCTGGCTTTCCTTCCCACCTTTTGGGTAACTTATTGGCGGGTTGTCAGGATTGTGGTCGAAAAAAGGCATGTCTTTCCCAATACCGGTATCATATGTAATTCGTGGCATATCTAACGCATAAGTTAGGGCTTTCATGTGGGGGATTACACCAGAAAGAGGCAATTTTATCTCGTGACCTCATCCTGAGCGGTGCTGCCGAGAAAAAAATTTTATACCGATCACCGCTTATACTAGTCGAGATCGGGTAGGTAGGAAAGGGTTCAGTTTTGCTCTCCCCCCCGGGGATATTGGACACAAATACAACAAAACAGGTTCGTAGCTATCATATCTACGAGGCCGCCTGAGATATCAGTCACGCCGCCACGTATCCGCCTATCAAAACGCATACTACCCCCCCAACGAAAAAGGGCAAGCCCAAGCGAAAACCCGGCTCATCACACTAAATCACTCGAAGTAGATGTACCAATACTTGTGTAGACCTGTCTTCTAACTGTTGGATGGGTGTGGAGGAATGGGTGCGATGGTTGTATTTTCTAGCTACAATGAAGGCTGTAGATAAAGGAAATATGATATCATATATGACTGTCGAGCCGCCTCTCCTGCTCCTGGATCACCCAAAACCCTAAACACCTATACATGAGGGTAGCCACCTGTACCACCTGCTAGCACTAACTTCACATCTAATCACTCGAGAGGCGGGCTGTGAGTGGAGTGCGCAATCTGGAAGGGTGGGATTTCTCAAGGGGGAGGAGGGGGGGGGG